CGAATTTGGTGGACATGTTTTTATTTGATTTTTATCAAATGGTGACATGGTCGTTTAATAATTTCTGCCATCCTTTTGCTTTGTTTTCCCGTTGTGGAATAGAGGTGGTTTGTAATCTCTTAAACCAAAGAGGGCAGATCGAGCATAATAAATACGAACTATAGGGATGATTCTTATAACTTTTTCTTCTAAATAGCTAGACCCTCTCGCAAATCCAACGATTGTCATTACGTATGATAGTGTAGAAAAAGATGTGGAACTGCATATCAAATCAAGCTGTCAACAAGAAAAAAATTTGGAGGAAGAATAAGAAGTCCAACTGATCTGATTCTCTACTAATATGCTCTTCATCTTCTACTATCATTTTAAATTTTAAATAGATTTTGATTAGATTTTCCGTTGTACTCAAACTATGTTAAAGAGTAACTTTGTATCAATGACATTTGAATAGAAACATACAGTCAAAACAATCCCTCATCTTCTATCCCTACAATCACTCCAATCTCTAATATTGTTTCAATCAAGTTGACTCCTAATAATTATCCTCTTTGGAAGGCACAATTACTACACTATATTTGTGGCCAAGACCCTGTATGGCTACCTTGATGGTACTCTCAGTCTCCCTCCCCAAACTGTTGATGTTCTGCATCCAAATACGGGTGCAATCAATCAAATTTCAAATCTCATGCATGCTCAATGGTTGCGACAGAACAGTCTCATCCTGAGCACTCTCATGTCTTCCATGACTGAGGGTGTATTAGCTCAGATATTCTCTCATGCCACCTCTCATTAGGTTTGGCGATCACTTGAAAAAAAAATTTCTTCATAATCTCAAGCTCGCATCATCCGGGTTTAAACTCAACTTTCCAATGCAAAGAAAGGCAGTCAATCTACCAAATGATTATTTTTTGTAGATCAAAAAATTAGCTGATGAACTTGCTATGGCCGGCTAACCTCTCAAATATGATGACATCATTTCTTATGTTCTTCTTGGATAAGAACATGTATATGACAGCTTCGTATCCTCTATCTATGCTTGCACTGATTACGTCACACTTAAGGAAGTATACCCTCTCTTAATTGTGAGTGAATCTCGTCTAAACTGCCATCATCTTTCTACTTCGGCACCACTTGGTGAGGCAAATGTCATTCAGAGATAACCGCAACAATCCAACAATAGGGGCCGAGGTGGTTCTCGTGGTAGAGGCCGCTATAACAACTCTCGGGGAGGGGGTGCTTCCTTTTATAATCACAATGACACATTTAATTCTTCTACAGTTGTGTGTCAAGTCTGCGGGAAACCTGATCACTCTGCTCGTAAATGCTACCACAATTTCGATCTCACCTATCAAGATCCTCCTCCTTCTCAAAATAAACAAGCCTTTGTTGCAGCCAACAATGATGGCTGGGAAAATGACTGGCATGCGAACACAAGTTCTACTCACCATATCACACCTGAATTAGCCAATCTAAATCTAAAGAGTGATGACTATAATGGTATAGATCAACTTCAAGTTGGCAATGGTCAAGGTTTGCGTATCTCTAAAACTGGCAATTCTTCTCTTCGTACATCATCTCATTCCTTTGTATTAAATCAAGTCCTCTTAGTCCCTCAAATTCAAAAAATTTTACTTTATGTTCAGAAATTCTGTATTGACAATAATGTTTAGTTCGAGTTTCATGACAAATATTTTCTCGTGAAGGATTACTCAGGGACCATCCTTCATCAAGACCAAGTTAGTAATGGGTTATATTGTTTCTCTAACAAAAATGTTTCTCCTCAAGCCTTTTCGAGTGTTCACATTTCGTTTGATCAGTGGCATCTTCGCCTTGGTCGTGCTGCTTCTCAAGTTGTTCAATGTGATCTGTCCTGCAATAAGCTTCTAGTTGATAAAATAAAGAGGCATTCGGTGTGCTCTATTTGGCAATTAGCTAAGAGTTATACTTTGCCTTTTAATAAATCTACTTATGTTTCTACTTCTCCATTAGACTTAATTTTTACAGATGTATGGGGTCCGGCCCCTGTAGCCTCAACTACAAGTGCTCGATTCTATGTTAGTTTTCTGGATTAGTATTTTACAATTCTTGTGGTTATTTCCAATTAAATTAAAATTTAATGTTGAACGTGTTTTTCTTCAATTTCAATGTTATGTGGAAAAACATTTTGAGCGTAAAATAAAGGCCATACAATCAGAATGGATTGGTGAGTACCGTAGACTTCATAATTATTTTCAAGAAACTAGCATTGCTCATCGCACCGCATGCCCTCATACTTACCAAAAAATCAGTTCAATTGAACGAAGGCAAAGACAAATTGTTGAAATTGGACTTAGTTTATTAGCACATTCAAATTTACCTCTAATTTATTGGGAAGATGCCTTTTACGCTACAACTTATTTAATTAATCGTCTTCCAACACCCATTCTCTACAATTTGTCACCTTATAAAATGCTCTATAATGAGATCCCTAATTTTTCTTTCTTACCTGTCTTCGAATGTGCATGTTGGCCTAATCTTAGACCATATAATAAACATAAATTGTATTTTATAAGCAAATCATGTGTTTTCATTGGCTATAGTGTTAATCATCATGGGTACAAGTGTCTTGACTTATCAACTGGTCATGTTTATGTGTCACGTCACGTAATCTTTGATGAAATTTTGTTTCCTTACCAAAAAAATGTCTTCTCTACATCATCCTACAAGTCCCACTCATCCACACATGTCACCTTACCTTAACATCTTAAATTACCGCCGACTGCTAGAACGGATGCTATACAAACCTGAATTATACCATCTGACACTAGTCATAATGTGCCTCTAGTATCTCACTCTGCAGGAACAGATGAAGGAACACCTGTTAGGCATTCTAATTCTATCTCCTTGCCAGTCATAGTAGCTGCTGAAAGTTCTCAATCCTCCAGCATACCAACAGAACCATCTCAGCCCACCTCGGATCCTCCAGTAATGCAAGGAAATACCAGAACCCATGCCATGGTTACCAGTTCGCGGAATAATATTTTTAAACAAAATCTAGCTCAGATGATTTTGTACGGTATCCTCTACCAAAAGCATTACTTAGCTCTCTTAATTTTACTGATGTAGAACCATTCTGTTATAGTGATGCAGTAAAGTCACCACACTGGCGTGCTGCGATGAATGATGAGTTCGAAGCCCTTCTACGCAATGGGACATGGTCATTAGTTGTTCCACCTCCAAAGGCCAACATCGTTGGTTGCCGATGGATATATAAAATTAAAAGACATGCCGATGGTTCCATAGAGTGGTATAAAGCAAGGTTGGTTGCCAAGGGCTTTCATCAGCAATCAGGTGTTGATTTTAATGAGACATTTAGTCCTGTTGTCAAGCATGCTACAATTTGAATAGTCTTGTCGCTGGATATTTCTTATAACTGGAAGATTAAGCAAATTGATATTCAATATGCTTTTCTACACAGCGAATTGGAGGAGGAAGTTTATATGGCCCAACCTCAGGGCTACATTCGTCCACAATATCCTCATCATCTTTGCAAGTTACATAAGTCATTATATGGCTTGAAACAAGCTCTGAGAACTTGGTTCTCTCGTCTATATGATAAATTACGGGTGATTGGATTTCATGATAAAAAGGCCGACACTTTTATTTTTATTTGGAGCAAGAATGGTTTTTTAGTTATGATTCTTATTTATGCTGATGATATTATCATCACGGGCAATTCTGGCACTACCATACGACATGTACTTTAGGCCTTGCATTCGGATTTTGCAGTTAAAGAACTTGGTGACCTTAGCTATTTTTTGGGTGTAAGTATTGCGCTCAAACGATGGTATGTATTTAACTCGACGTAAGTATGTGGCTGATCTCCTAAACTGCACTCACATGGCAAAAGCCAAGCCATGTAAGAGTGTAAGAGTCCTAAGTCAACTTCTTGTCAGCTATCTGCCACCGACAAAGCTCTCGGATCCTTCTCTATATAGACAAGTTGTTGGGAGCCAACAATATTTAGCTTTTACTAGACCTAATCTAGCTTCTCCATTCACAAAGTAAGCAAATTCATGCATAACCCATTGGTTCCACATGGACAGGTGGCAAAAAGGATTCTACATTATCTTAAACATACAATATTAACGGGCTTGTTTCTTGGCAAGTCGTCTAATTTTGCAATTCAAGCTTTTTCAAATTCTGATTGGGCAGCTGATCGCGATGATCGTCGCTCAGTCGGTGCTTATTGCATTTACATGAGCGCCGACCTTATTTCTTGGCTCTGCAAGCAACAATTTACATTTACTCGGTTTAGAAGCTGAATATAAGTCCCTTGCAAATACCGCTTTAGAACAACAATGGTTGCAATCAATTTTATCTAAAATTGGCTTAAAGATTCCAATCCTGCGCATGTTATGGTGTGACAATATTGGAGCCACATACTTAACTGCTAATCCTATGTTTCATGCCCGTACTAAGCACATCAAGATTGATTTTCATTATGTGTGTAACCAAGTTTGAAGAAAGCAACTTATTGTTCAGTTTATCTCTACTAGAGATCAACTTGCTGATTCACTAACTAAACTAGTGTCTCCACGCAAGTTCCAAAACATCTTAGCCAATTTGAACGTTTGAGCACCTCCATTTCAGATTGAGGGGGCGTGTAGAAGAAATGTGGAACTGTATAACAAATCAAGCAGTCAACTAGAGGAAAATCTGGAGAAAGAATAGGAAGTCCAACTGATCTGATTCTCTACTGATCTGCTCTCCATCTTCTGCTGTCATTTTAAATTTTAAATAGATTTTGATTAGATTTTCTGTTGCTATTTTTGTTGTACTCAAACTCTATAAAAGAGTAACTTTGTATGAATGACATTTGAACAGACACATAAAGTCAAAACAATTGTATCTATAGCCTCTGCTTCTGAATTTCCTATTCTCTTACAGACAGAAACAATAGATTCTCACCTAACAATCAAACAGCCAAAATCTGCAATATATACAGCAGCACATTATAGTCATTGCAAGTGCTTGTAACTGACTCTGCAGAAGAAGGGAAGTAAAGCAACTAACTTGAGAAGCAAAAGGATTACATTTGTGCCAAGCGACAACATTTTTGTCAAAGGGCGGCCTGAAATTCCCAAATTTGATATTCAACATGATGTTAAAAAGACCATTAATTTTCCTGGATGAGACACCTTCGCCGTCCAAGTAAGACTCTGAGATGTTATAACAGACCTTTTTCAAATGGAGTGAAGAGGTTTGCACAATTAGTGACCCATTGATCACTGCATTCTCGTTGCCCATTGTCGTGCACCGAGGCCCCTTCAATAGATCCATCAGTTAGAAATGCATGTTGCTGATATAATCTTGCCACTGTACTCTGAGGTTGATTGGGATATTGATCCACCAAATCACCTATCATTTTCAATCAAAAAATTATTACCCCAGATAAAATAAAAATTCAGACTCTGAGATTCTACTTGCCCATTGTCTTCCGCTGAAATTCCACATTAAAGTCATCTGGGTCTAATTCAAAACAGAGAAGTATGTGATGCCCATCCATGATGTTCCGTTACTAGTACAAGATAGAGATAATGTACCTTGGGTTAGTAGTGCGGTCTCATTCAATAGTCCATAAACTTTTTCTAAGGAATTCCAGTTTGCATAGGCTTCTCTAATCAATGACTCAATATAGGCCTGTACATTCAAGTATATCTTCAAAATGATAAATGTAGTACTGAATAATAAATACGGAGAACGTATGAATGGCAAAGAACAAGAGTGTGTTGTTGAAATCCATACCTTATGTATGCTTGTTAGGTCACTATCATTAGAGAAAATTTGCCCCTCAATCATAGCCGTCACAACTTGGCATATAGGATTCAAGACCACAGTGTAATTGGGTCCTCGGGATATAAACAGTTTTCTGCCCAAAACACAAGTCCTGGCATGCTTTAAAGTTACTTCCCACATCTTTTCTGACATTCCTCTTCCTAATATCTGTTGAAATTAAAAAAGATAAGCATTATTAGGAAAGTTTCTTTCTTGAGTTTATGAGATACTCGAAAGTTAAAATGAGCAAATTATATGTTGACCTCCTCAACAGCTCAACTATGACCTGATTTTATTATTCTTTTAACTATTGAGTTTCTCACGTCAACTGTTTGAATTGGTTTTATATTGGTTAAAGCAAAAAAACTCAACATCTTTTGAACAGAAAAGTTGTCCATGTTTGTAATTAACTACATGTTTTCGGTGTTTATGATTAGGATAGTGTGAATCTAATAATTATAGTTAGATGTACAATGTGAGTAATGTGACAACTAAAAGGAGTGATATAGAATAAATAACTGTAATTAAAGGTAAAATGTGAAAACGTGACACTTAAGGGAAAAATATGAGATATGAGATTCTTAACTGAAATTGGAAATACTGAAATTGCATACCCTTCTAAGCGTGGATGGGTTAACAATGGAGAGCTTCAAGAAATCTTGAACAGTGTCAATGCCCTCAGAAGCTAGCTTTTTATGAAAACGACCATCTTTTCCAATCTTCTCAAGACGCCACACACGTCATCCTCCAGCATTGGTGGGTGGTGCTTTTTGTACACTGCATTTGAGAAGAGAGTTGGAGCACTGTGAATATAATCTATAATGAAGGACATAGGTGACAAAAAGACAATCACGGTGATGTTTGGTTAGGGAATATAAATCTATATGCAAATCATTTTGATACAAAGCATTTTAAAAGTGATATTAAGTTATTCTTACCACTTGCAATCTTGATAGGATCAAATGGTTTTAACATTCAATAATAGTTTGAATCTCTTTCACCGAAAAGGTGGCACACATGAAAAATTACGTCAAATCATTCGAATGATATTCGTATGTAAGAAAAGATTGCCTCCCTACAAACGCGGTCATGAACATCAGGTTTTGTCTCTTACTAAAGAGGTTGCATGTGGGACCAACATGATTTCCCTAAAGTGAATGTCTATGTATATATATATATATATACTACTCATAATTTATTTATGAAAATACGCTAAAATATAACGTCCAAAAAATCAATCTTATTATATTAAATAACACTTTTCTTTTCTTCATTTTTGGATTACATTATTTAAAATTTATTTTTATGCATTATTTTTTTTAAAAATATTAATAATTTTCTTAAAATACATAATTTGATAAAATTTTCTCAACATATGTGTAATATCGTGCATGGATAATGTTGAAAATAAAAACAAGATTAAATTATAAATTAATTAAATATTAAATAATTAAATATGTAATAGAAATGGGTAATAAGACATTTTTTAAAGGAAAAATATGTAAGGCAGAATTTTTTTTTTTTTCGAGTTGTTAAGTGTTTTATTAAATAAATGTGGGTGGGTGCGTGTGTGTGGGCTTTTAGGTGAATGGAACAGAGAGGGCCGTACGACATTGAAATTGACAAGCCATGGTTTCACTGTATAACATGGTTTCACTGTATAACAATTGTAATCATGCAGGGCCTGGTCCCGATCTTTAATCAGGTGCCTGACTTTTCGTCCCCATGGCTTCAACACAGAGCACTAGGTAGCATGCATTTTTTGACCAAGCATTAACGAACACTCACTAGGTCATAATCTTAAACTGGCATTTATTTACGGAAAAAATAAACTTGGAACATCACCCTCAATAGAAGGAACCCAATGATATAATGCTACAAGAAAGTGAATATTCTCCCCCAT